TGGAAGAATGCACCTTCCACAGGGATCACACTACCGGTGAAACACTCGGAATACACCCGAAGAGGACCAAGCGTAATTGCTGGAAATTCAAAACCAGTTGTTCTTCTGGACACTATTTCGTGAACATTTGGATCCGAAAACACTTTTCTCATTCGAGCCATGTCGAACGTATGACCAAACATGATCGTTTCCCCAACGGGAACAAAAGCATCTTCAATGAAACATAATCTGTTTTTTTTTGCATCGCTTTGACAATACAAAATTACTGGCATCGATGTTGGAGGTATCTTCCCGGTGCATGAGCGAGTTGAGCATATAAGCCGCCAAATTCAACCCGGAAAGAGACTCTAAGAGCACACTGCCAAGGCATAACTCGGCCAATTCACTGATGGCATTTATATAGAGTCTAATGTACTCCAGGTAAACTCTGGAATCCAGATGGTTAAATGCATCATCAGCAACAGCTGATCTAAAATTAAACAATAAAGACTTAATATCAAATTTAAAATTGTAGATGTCAAAAGCATCTTACTTCAGTTTGCTTGTAAGCTCGGAATAGTAATCAGGTGTTGCCAAAGTAGCAGGAACGCGAACTTCCAGGCGGGTGGTAAACTGATTGTTTTTAATTTCAGTAATTCTGTCATTCTACCATCTCTATACCAAATTTTTAAAGTTAGAGCATTAAAAATAAACATTGAAAACAATTACGTACCAAGTTTCGTTGGTGGTGTTGAGGATGTCATAGATTATAATAAAAGAATCATCACATTTTACATAATAATGGATGATCATGTATAAATATTCATGGCTCACACTTCGCCCCATTTGTTATCATCAGAACCGTTGGTGTCTGTGCACAAGGTGATTTGCCTTGTGACGAGTAAAATATTATAATACCATAAAAGTATAGTACAATCCCATAGGCGGAATATTCGGTTACTGAATATTACACGCACTAAACTTTCTCTTTGGCATTTACGTAATGTCACCTGCGGAGATGAATTTAGATCCTCACGTACTTTTGTCTTTACTTTGTAAGGCAGGAATTACTTCATAACATATTTATTTAAACAGACATTACGTATAACATTATATCATATTCCTCTAACGCGTCACATATATTATCCGAAAGCCATCTAATCATTTAGTATAAATACCTGTAGTTTTGCTAGTAGAATTCCCGAAAAATGTTCTGGAAATAAAAGATATACACAGTTCTAACAGTATTTTCTTTTGTTACCCTAATTTACATTTTATCTCCATCCCAAACAGGTGGCGCCCAGTGTAATGACGAAATTTCTTTCGCATTTCCTCGGCATTCCACTCACCACAGATACTACCATTGTACCCGACATTTCCCAAAGTAAATGGATACTTGATATCATTGTAGATAAGCACCTTTGAGGCATACCTGGATGCAGGCGAGGCACTTACGGCTTTGATACCACCAAAGGTACCCAAGGTCATGTTCATCAGCTTGGTCTTAGCTGACGATCCAGCAAACAGACTGCCGAGGGAGTAGCAATGCTCTGCCTTTACAAAAGTAATGGCATGACTACCTAACTTTGATTCGGCATAAAAGTTGATGCCGATATCAATCAAACATTTGCTGGCATCAAGTAATGACCAGTCCAGCATGGTGTCAAGAATTGACAAATGGTCATCACCATAAATTGGACATTTAAACCCAAAGGAAGAGCACACGAACACAAAATGACGGAATTGCGCCAGTTCCAAGCTTTCACGGGCAATTTCCCGCATATGATGTACCAAAACTGGTACATCAGAACCAAACAAAAACCTGGGAATTGTCGCATGAAACCCAGTTCCAATGGATTGCCCGTAAGTGGCACCAGAGCGATTGTATGCAGAATTCGACAACAGACGTTTCAATGCTGGCAAGAGAAGTTTGTCGGTAAACTTTCTTTGGCATCCAGCGCTTAAGATTCTCTTCCTGCCTTGCATTCCAAGATTCTTTTGTTTCATATTGGGAAAAACAATATGGATTTTCATTAAAGCTTCCGAAGATAACTCAAAAAGTAAGGTGTGGGGATAATTTTTTATGTAGTCCTTGTCACCACAAAAAGTAAAAGAACCAAACTCTAAACGATTTAAGGCTGTTCCCCAATGGGGACTTAAGAAAAGTTTTACACGGGTCTTCGGCTTAATGGGTACAACCTTTGAAGCATGGGAGATAAAAGCGTCAATGTTGATCTCGCAAATTGTAGGATCACTGCACTCAAGTTCCAAGTCGACAATAATTTTTTTTGGACATTTTCTCGAGTATAAGTCACACCATTGAACATCAAAGCAAGTCTGTCGGTCAGGGTGGTGGCAGCGGAACACTTCTGGACAAATTCGGAAAATGTCATAACGACTATTATAAAAAGTAAGTAATAAATTATTAAATTTTTTTTGTTTATATGGAGACGGAGTCTCTGTGATTTATTAGTGATATTAAAGGGAAATAGTCACAATTGTGTTTTTGGATTTTCTATTTTAGAGTTTTTTTTTTTTTTTTTTTTTTTTTTTGTTATAGTTAAAGTATGTACAAGTTTGAATTTAGAAAAATAAATAAATCAAAGCAGTTTTAGCGGAAGCCTGAGCGACGGAAGGCCTTACCAATGGAGGGAGTATAAGCTGTCCTCAGAGAAAATGGGAGGGGGAGAATGAGGGGTGCCAGATTAAAGAAGTGCTTCATGTTGAGATTTTAAAATCTTTTTGGACGCGAGGGAGATAGTGGAAGCAGTAGTAAAAGGAGTGTCGTTAAAGACAAAAGCCCAATGGCACAACCAAATGGATTCGAGAGTAGCAGAGAGAGCGAGAAGGCTAGAATCAGGAAGAAGTGGCATATTGGGCAGGAGGGCACGAAAAGTATGAAGACCAACACGCAGGATATCGGTCGACAAAGTGATAGAGGATAGGGAGATATGTTGATCCCAGATTTGTTGCCAAACGGGCAGTTTTAGAGGACACTCGAATAGAAAGTGATCAAGAGTTTCTGATGGATGTGAGCATAATTGACAAACTGGTGTTGGAAAGTACGCTGGCATAAATCTATGTAGAATAGATCTATGAGGAATTTTCTTATGAATATATCGATACCAGACATTGCGGCAAGAATGTGACAAGGGGAGATTCCAAAATTTAGACCAATCCGTGGATAGAGTGGGTGCAAATGGAGGAGGAAGAGAAAGATGGGTAGGTGAGGGAGAACACCATTGACGAAAAATCTTTGTGGTTAACGGGTCATGTGGAGAGCCGGGAGGAGAAACAAACTGTAATGCAATTAGGAATAGCGTGATATCCACTACCGAGTGATCGGGAACTGGAGTATAACCGGAGGCACAGGAAGGAGGGATGAAAGAGCGAACAAAGAAGGGCAGAAGTGCAAGCTCATCATTGGTCACTAAACGAAGGATTTGTCGAGATAAGGACGGGTAGATGGTGAATTCTGTAGAGCGTTTAGGGCGTAAACAGTTTTCGTTGGCTGAGTCAAGAGTATAAGATACGGAACTAGGCAATGATGCCATAGATCGACGCAAAGTAGACAGCTGCGAGTCAATGATAATGGAAGCCATTGGAATTTCTAAACAAGTAGCAGCGCTGATAACAACATCCGTGTATGATTTAGGTAGTCGATCAATGGCTTGGAAAAGAAGATATAGAGACCCGTTAATGTTTTTGGTAGCAGGCGGACGACGTGTAGGAAATAGAAAATAAAACCGGTGGTCAAGGTCTTGAGGAGCAGTTGGAAAGTGATTACCAGATACGGATGTGGAGACTTGAGAGTACAAGAAGGCAATTAATCGAGGCAATACAAAAGATTTAACATGCGGGGTAACAGAAATAAATATATCAGTTGGTGTAGACATGAGAGGTTGTAGCCAACGCAGTTGTAATGCCGATTGTTGTAAGACCGGATCAAGTACACCTAATCCACCAGAAGAACGGCTTGAACAGGCTGTTGCAAAGCTGATCTTAGGAAATATACGAGAATTAATAAATTTCGAGATCACGGATTGCATAGATTTGAAAAAGGACATCGGGACCGAGACCACGCGGAGGACATGCCAGAGTTTACTGAGTACCAGAGAGTTTAAGACAGTGGCTCTCCCTCGAACAGATAAACCACGCTGTTGGTGAATTTGGCAGGCTTTAGAAACCTTATCCAAAATACCGTCAAGAAACAAGTTACGCTGAGAAGTTGAAGTGTATAATGGAAAACCCAAATACACAACCGGAGCAGGGGATTGACAATCATGCCAGCTGGTGATGTTATAAGACAGCAATGCTGACCGCCAAACCGAATTGTAGATGGAAGAAGCTCCAGATAGTGAGACAGCTTCAGTTTTATGGAAGTTGACTTTGGCGTTGGAAGCACGTGAATAAAGAGACAAATGGGCTTGTAGGTGTGTCAGTTCACTAGGATCATTCAAAAGGCAGATGATGTCGTCAGCATACGCAAGTAGTTTGACAGGATCCACTGATGGATTGGTAACAGGACAAGGTAATCTATACCCCATTATTCTGGAATCAAGTTGAATTTTGCGAAGAAGAGGTTCAAAGGCTAAATTGAACAAAATAGGACTAATAGGGTCACCTTGCTTTAAACCACGTCTTTGAGGAATACATTGTGACAAGAAACCATTTACGTTAATTTGTAAGTCCGTACTAAAGAAGAGACGATCAATACAATCTACCAAAGTGAGAGGGTATCCAAATCGGATAAGTACGGCACGAAGGTAATCCGGATGGACACGATCATAAGCTTTTTCTTGATCCAAAAGTAAACCTATGCCAGAAGATGAGGATATGCGAGCTTGTTCCATAACAAGCTTCATGAGGAGACCATTATCTGCGATGAAGCGACCTCTAACAAAACCCGTTTGGTAAGGATTGATAAGTTTGGAGGCCGTGCTAATCATTCGGCTGCTAAGAATACGAGTGAAGACTTTAGCATCCGTATTGATCAAGGAGATTGGACGCCAATTTTTTAAAGTATCAAAAGGCGGTTTCTTGGGTAACAGAGTAACGCAAGAGCGTAGCCACGAGGGCGGTATGTCAGCGAAACATAGGGCATTGTTGAACACCTCTACAGCTATTTGACTGCAACTCGGATGTATGACAATGAGTCGTAATATAGCGTACGGAAGACCGTCGATACCCGGGGAAGATTTTTTGGGAGTCCTTGAAAACGCATCCAAAAGAGTGTCAAGGGTAATAGGACTAATCATGAATGAAGATGCCGAGGGTAATAGATGTAGCGAGTCGGGTAAATCCGCTAATAAACTATCTATAGCAGCAGGGTCGATAGGGTCGGGAGAATACAGATCGCTATAAAAGGTAGCTGCAGCATCAAGCATTTCATCTTTGGAAGAACACAAGGATAAAGAGCTTGGATGTAGAAGAGGAGGGATGGTCTGACGAGATTGCCGTGTAGAGATAGTACGTTTTAAATAGCCAGCGGATAACTCACCCATTTCACGCCATCTTATACCAGACCGCAAAGCGAGGTCATCGACATGGTATTGTTGCAGAGAAGTCAGTTGTTGCTCAACTACAGTCAACTGAGGCGACAAGACCGGGAGCAAGGAAGGATCGAGAGATAACTTCTTCGTTATACCAGCACGTTTTTTGTGGAGCAAATCTTCAGCACAAGAAAGAGTATATGCCTTTCGTCTACTGTAGGACTTACAAAATGTTGCAGTGGATGCCTTGAGTGATTCCCATTTTTCGGCGGCGGACATGGGCGTAGTGAATTGATGGACACATTTAGATAGTATCCTATTGAGTTGCTTGACAAAATGTGGATTGGATGCTAGTCGAGGATGAGCTCGCCAAAGACCCTTACCTACTGAAAAAACAGAGTTGGAATCACTAATGGGAGGAAACAATCGAAATTGAGCTTTTAGCAAAAGATGGTCAGACCACTGTGGTTGAATATAAGTGGTAGTGCAATCATCATACTGAGTGGAAGAGGCAAGATCATTAGACACAAAAACGTAATCAATACAGGACTGTGAAACACCACGATGAAATGTAGCAGAGGCTAATTGATCAGGAGGAGTGATACTATCAGTAAACGAGGAATCAATATAATGAAGCCAAGTGGATGGTGCTTGACGAATTCGAGAAGAAAATTGTCGTGAGTAGGAATAATTAAAATCACCGGCCAAAATAGTACGTAAAGGGCATGTGGGAAAGATAGCAGGATATTGTTGTGTAATATCGTTAAGAAAAACATATCTTTCAACACGTGATGCCGGGAAGTAGACAACTGTGACAATCACCGGATCAAAAGCATTGGAAGTATGCGAAACGGTAGTAGAAATAATACGTTCACAAGGGCTAATAAAGGAATTAGAAAATTCAAGTTTATCTGAGAAAGAGACCAAACCACAATGACTAGACCAGAGACTAGCTTTGGCTTGGAATTGGGAATGAAATATATCTTGGAGAGAGGATGAAGCGTGAGTTTCTTGAAGTGCCAGCAGATCAAGAGAACGAGTGCGAAGATATCGAATAAAGCTGTTACGGATGGAAATATCAGCTGTCTTGGCAAGACCGCGACAGTTGAGAGAACCAACAGCGAGAGAAGAGAAAGAGGTAACCGGGGAGATAGGAGCAGTAAAAGTAGTAGGCATAGCAGTGGGGTCAATAATTGTGTTAATATTAGTATTGGGTAAATTCATGATTAATAAAATTATTGATTAAAGTCTCCATTTGGGGACGGGGAATCGACTATATGATGGATGACGGGTTCATTGGGAGCAGTATCGAGGTCCATATCGACATCTTCAATTTCTGGAGATTCAGGGTTATACAAATCAGAGTCTTGTGTACGTTGAGCAAGTTTATGAGGATTTTTTAAACAGTATTTATGGATAGTACGTTTATGACCCATCAATCCACAATGCTTACATGGTGTGACTGTAACTGGTTTAGGAGGTTCGTTAGCCAAAGTAGATGTTGTTCGAGTGGCCCGAGCTGGTGAATCCACACGGTGACGTTTATCTTCGATTGGTGGGGCGATAGCAATATTTTTGGTTGCATTCGCCTGGCTCGCAACAGGAGGTGAAGCGGGAGCGATATGGTCGCTAGAATCGCTTTGTGTGATAGGTGCAACAGGAGCGGAAGGAGAGGGTGGGCTTAAATCGGCGATATCCGTATTAGGCAATTTTCGACGTTTACCGGTAGAATCTCCAGCATTATTCTTTCTAGGGCAAAATTTGGCAATATGACCAGGAACATGGCACAAATACCAAATGGTGGCCTTTTTGCGTAATTGACAGTAAAGCAAGGCGTGTGATTCTGAGTGACAGTAACGGCAGAAAGAGGGCATAGATGCCCAGGTAGCTAAAATATTAAC